AGCCACTAGAGGATTAGGGGGAAGGCTTAACCCATTGATAAACATAGCAGTTTCTCTGAAACTGCTATGTTTATAAAAAAATGGGTTAACCCTAGAAGGACCTGGGACCCAGACCACTTCATTAAGCTGAAGTGGTCTGGGTGCCTAGAGTGGTCCTCTAATTCATTAACCTGTGGATATTGCCTGCCTAATTACATGTGTTTATCTATTGCATTTATATGTGTCTCAATTTGAGACTTTTTTGCACAAGTATCACTTTATCACAAATGATCTTTATTTTTTGCACTTTGAGCACTTCCTTATCTACTATAATGCACTTTATGGCATATGTCACTTTAAATATTTGCCACTTTACAATTCTTTATGCACTTTACTATTAAAGGACCACTTTAGTGCCAGGAAAACATACTTGTTTTCCTGGCACTATAGTGCCCTGAGGGTGCCCCCACCCTCAGGGACCCCCTCCTGCCGGGCTGGATGGAGAGGAATGGGTTAAACTTACCTCCTCTCCGCCTCCTCTCCTCCTCTTCGGCTGAATGTGCATGCGCGGCAAGAGCTGCGCACGCATTCAGCCAGTCCATAGGAAAGCATTCACAATGCTTTCCTATGGACGCTGGCATCTTCTCACTGTGAAAATCACAGTGAGAAGCGCGGAAGCCTTCTAGCGGCTGTCAATGAGACAGCCACTAAAGGCTGGATTAACCCATTTATAAACATAGCAGTTTCTCTTAACCCTAGCTGGACCTGGCACCCAGACCACTTCATTGAGCTGAAGTGGTCTGGGTGCCTATAGTGGTCTTTTAAGGGCATTTATATGCCTAGGTCTGATTTCTTCCTACTCAGACCGTTTATATGTTCGTCCTTATGCACATAGTAGGAGCTATGAGCTATAATCTATAGCTCCTACGATATATTTGGAGCACCAACACTCAGTTGCCACAGTATAATAAACACTCCACCAGAGGCGATGTTTTAATACTATACTATATATTTTCACGGCACAAATCCCACTTGATCCGGGTGAACCAACTGTGGAAGAATCGGATTCAATCTGCACGCGAGAATTTTTGCTACAATTTTAGAATCGTGGTTTATCAAGGAAATCAGGCGGAAGTTTTCAGGGATCGCATCATCCTTACCAGGTTTCAATAGTAAAACTATGTCCGCTAGGGACATGTCTCTGTCTGGTGTCCCCCCATCCATAAGATCATTGCACCAAGATTCCAAGTGAGGCACAAGTTCCTCTCGAAGGATCTTATAATAGCTTCCATCAAAGCCGTCCGGGCCTGGTGCTTTGTTACTTTTTAACACAGAAATGCCTGCGTCCACTTCCTCAGCTGAGATAAGTTTTTGCAAAACATCTGAGTCCGCTCCGATAATACTGCGAATTCTGTACCGCTGCTAAGCTGACTGGGGTAGAATCTGACTTATGTCCGCTTTCCTCAAGGATATTAGGAGGGGCGACAATAATTGAGTTTCGCGCTTTTTCTTCATTGTCGCTTCACGTATCAAGGTGCCCCTGATAACGGTTTTGTGGGCCGCCCATACCGTAGCCAACTGGCAGGCCTGACTCTGCTTCACGAGCAAAGTACTCCTTTAAGTTGTTCCTTATCTTCGTGACTATCTCCGGGTCCCGGAGCAAAGACGAAGGAGACACCATACACAGTTCATCTTATGTTAGTGTAATGTCAGCATGGTCAGACCATGTTATAGAGCCCACGGTAGAGTCAGCAACTTTAGATACGGTCAGGAGTTTCACTAAGAACAGGTCTATCCTCGAATAGGTATCGTGGGGAGACAAATACAATGTATAATCAGTGACGTCAGGGTGGTGAGTTCTCCAAATATCTATTAGGCCTGTATGTTGTATAAAGGTGTGCAATAACTTATTAAAGTATTAAAGTCTCCCCCCACTATAACCATGCCATGAGGTAGCGTGTTGACTATACGAGTCAATTCTGCCCAGAAGTCTTTGGCCGGATCGTTAGGGGCATACATATTAAGCATATGGATAGCATGAGAGAACAGAGTTCCAGATAGCAAAATAAAATGTTGAATAAGGATAGCTACACCATTTCTCTTATTAAGGGCTTTAGATTCGTACGCGGTGCTGTAAGTGTGATCTTTGAGGGCAAATTTCGCCAACGCTGGCATGTGTATCTCCTGCAGGAATGCAGTGTCGGGGTTCATACGCTTAAGGCATTGTTTTTTTAGGAGCGTTAAGGCCCCTTACAGTTAAAAGTAATAGTTTTACAGGCATATCTTGGGATATGGGTTATCATTGTACTCACCCATTCTGTTGCATCGAGACCCACACCAATTACTTAGTTGTTTTGTGTTGTGAATCAGAAGTGCCGCTGTAAATTCTTGACCTCCCCGCAGGAATACGCACTTTCAGGTCTCTTCCGCTCCTCCCCCAAGGGGTAAGGTACAAGGGGTGGGTAAAAAAGAAGGAAAGGTTAACAGAAAGATAAAGAGAAAAGAAGGAAAGAAATAGAAGAACTTATGATATGTAGCCAGGTCCAATTGGGGTTTATGTCCCAGCTCCACTGGACCGTCGAAACAAGCTCCGGAACAGCGGGGACATGGACCAACCCGCCGGGGTGGATGGAGAGGATGGGGTTAAACTTACCTCTTTCTCCAGCGCCAGACGGGGAGCTCTCCTCCTCTTTGGCTGAATGCGCAAGCGCGGCAGGAGCCGCGCGCGCGCATTCAGCCAGTCCATAGGAAAGCATTTACAATGCTTTCCTATGGACGCTGGCGTCTTCTCACTGTGAAAATCACAGTGAGAAGCGCGAAAGTCCTCTTGTGGCTGTCAATGAGACAGCCACTAGAGGCTGGATTAACCCATTTATAAACATAGCAGTTTCTGTGAAACTGCTGTCTATAAAAAAAAGGGTTAACCCTAGCTGGACCTGGCACCCAGACCACCTCATTAAGCTGAAGTGGTCTGGGTGCCTAGAGTGGTCCTTTAATAAGTTATTGCACACCTTTATACAACATACAAGCCTAATAGATATTTGGAGAACCCACTAACACTGCTCCAGTGAGTGGACGGTGAGGTTCCGTCGCCCATAATCATTAGGTCTCCTCCCAGCCTATCCACTAGATAGCCCTCATGGCTGCCTGTGATTACCCTTAGATCTGTTAGCATATGTACGGAGACCCCATCCCCATCAACCCCAAGGTCTGGTTCGTCTAACCAGGAGTGATCGCTACTATCAAAAATACAATTCTTAAAGGGACATGATAATCACCAAAACCACTACAGCAAAATTTTCTTTACTATTTCTGTGTATCTGAGGGTGTTAAAATAGAATTTCCATGTCAATTATGTAATTTACCCATTTTAAAATGCTTTTGGAAAAGGGGAAGGTGTGTATTTTAAGTTTACTTTCGGGGGAGGTGTGAGATTAAAAATGTTAAGAACCCCTGCCTTAAATACACATTAGAGGGAATATTATTGCTGTGGCGGTTATACACTCAGACACACCAACAAGATGGAGCTGGATTCACAAAAAAATGACACTGTACCCTTAGGCTCCTTGCAGTACTCTGACCTAATGTTGCTTAGACTGCTTCTTTATCATAACTCAATCTAATCATAGTCCATGTGGATATAATGCTTTTTTGGAGATTTTACATATCATAGGTTTTCTTGACATAAAGTGTCTTATCGTTAGTATTATTATCTATACCGGATTCAGTTGATTATTATATGTACATTACTATATTCAGCCTTTAGAAGTCTGTTTAAGTATTTACAGAGAAGAGTTGAAGACTTGACATCTTGATATAGTGGTTATCAAAATGATTCAACCCCCATTGAAAATCAGGTTTATTGTCAAAATGTACAGACTTTCAACTGTTTGCAATGAACAAATCAAACAAAAGCAATTGAAATAGCCCAACACAACAAATGCTTTAAGTGGTTTCCCAAATTCAACTGAAAATGAAACTTATAATGACTTCTCCAGTCTCAAAATTATTCAACCCCTTCATGGAAAGTATCCTTAGTACTTACTAGAGCACCTGTTTGGTGTTATGACGTGCTGCAAACAAGATGCATAGCCAGACCCCTTATTCTGGCAGCGTTCCTGAGGAATCTTAGCCCATTGTTCAGTTAAGTAATAATCTTGGGTTTGTGTGCTGCAACTCCCTTCTTCAAATTCCACCCAAAATTTTCAATGGGCTTCAAGTTCGGCCACTGTAGAATTTTCCAGGACTCCTTCTGTAACCAAGCCTGAGATGAGCCTGATGATCTCATCCAATCAGGGCCGTCTTTAACGCGGGGCAAACTGGGCAGCAGCCCCGGGCACAGTTGCTCCTAGTAGGCCCCAGAGCAGCTACCTCATGGGCCCTGCGATTTGCGCACCCCCCCATGGACCAGGCGGTGCAGCTGCACAGAGCTGCACCGGCCCGCACACTAAGGATGCCCCCGGGTGGCCCATGCACTAAGAACCACGCGGTAGGCATGTGTCAGCAGGGGCCCGGTCGGGCGCTGTGGCGCTTAAAACGGCGCGACTGGGCCCCTTCCTGTTCAGCAGTCGGCTGGGAGGAAGTAAGTGCCGTGCGCCACTTTCTCCCACCGGAGATCAGAGCCACGCGGGAGGTGGAAGGCAGGGAGGAGAGGAGTTCCAGAAGATAACTCCTAACTGCCTCAGCCTGTCACTGGATCCCAGGGAAACCACCCTCCAGAAAAAGCTAATTGTAGCATGTGTGTCAGAATGTCAGTTTGTGTGTTTGTCAGTATTCCTGTGTGTGTTTGTGTGTCAGTGTGTCTATGTGTGTGTGTGTCAGTATGTCTGTGTATGTGTGTGTGTGTCAGTATGTCTGTGTGTGTCTGTCAGTCAGTGTATCTGTGTGTGTCAGACATACCAGCACACACACACAGATATACACAGACAGACATACTGACACACACACTGACAGATATATTGAAACACAAACACACAGACATATCGACACACACACACACACACACACACAGGGCCCAGGGGACCCAAGAAAATGCTTTGCCCAGGGTCCTTTTCATATTATAGACGGCCCTGCATCCAATCCAATGCATTTCCACAGGTAAGCATTGGGATGCTAGTGCACATGCATAACAAACTGCAGCGAGCAATAACCAGTAAGAGAAAGCTCTACCACTTAAAACAACTGTTACTTGTTTTGAAGGTATCTTACTGTTGGTGATATAGGTATAAGAGCTGTGAAAGATGATGTGTGATCACATCTGTATGTCACTGCTTTCCGCATAGATTCTCCATGTGAGAATGGAGTGGGCCAAAAGAAATGCTGCTCCGGAGCAGGTCCTGCTCATTAGAAAAGTACCACTCAGAAAACAGTGATTGGCATCTGTGATAGACATCACCTGTCACTGCTCCGACATCGCGAACAATACTGGTACTCAGGACCACACCTTACTGCACTAAGTGTCAGGGCCCCTTGAAGAATATTAACATTTTGCTGTGATCTCCCAGCTGCCTTAAGAAGGACCTCCTCATATCCAGAGCTGGAGATCCAGGCCAAGACAGGGGCCTATCAGGTCCCTATCTGATCTTGTGCCCTAGGTGGCCACCTTAAAGGTAGTCCTGTCAAGATTACTGTTTGATCCAGCACGTAGAACTGTATAGCACAGATGACAAATAAGTAACGTATTACCGGTCCTTAGAATGGCCGGATTTAACATAAATACTAGCCGAGGTCAGGGAACACAGAAAGGGACGCAGCGATGAGGAAAGCCAGGAGTCAGGATACCAGAATATAGAGAAGTCAATAAACAAAGCCAAAGTCAAAAACCAGGTAGAAAACTATAAACAGGAACGCGCTCTCAGACAACCACAAGGGAAACCACGACAGGGCACTGAACAGGATGAGAACTGGGCCTAAATACCCCTCCTTTAGTTCTGATAGGCTGTAACCGGCCTTTGACCCCAAAGTCAGTTACCAGGTTTCATTTGTATAATTGCTGCTCAGCATTAACCCTTCTGTGGATTAGGTTGCTGCTCGGCACAACTTTTCCTGTGTGGACAGTAAATGTCATTAACCACATTTCTATAAGCGGATGAATACGTGACATTACCCCTCACCTGAAGAACGCCCACCGGGCGGGCAGGACAAGGCTTGAGAGGAAATTTGGCGTGAAAAGCGCGGATCTTACGGCCCGCATGCAGGTCAGGAGCCGAAACCCAAGAACGATCAGCAGGACTGTAACCTTTCCAAACAACCAAGTACTGTAAAGTGCCCCGAGAAAACCTAGAATTCACGATACAAGATACCTCATACTCCTCCTGACCACCCACCACCGCCGGAGGGGGAGGAACACAAGGAACAGTATATCTATTGCAGACAAGAGGTTTGTAACGGACCGTTTTGCCCAAAAGAGGTTAAAAAACGTTTAGGCGATATTCCCCTTTTTCAGCTGCACCGACAGCTGCTGCAAGCACCAATCTCCCGAACTGCAAACCCACAAATTCACCAACTCCCGAACTGCAACCAAGGGAATTCTCTAAACTCCCGAATTGCATACCAAGTAGCACTGCAAACTCCCGAAGTAGAGACACGAATAGCTGCTAGTAGACGAACAGGAAAAGCCCCCAAGCGGCTTACACTCCTGGCAATCAGTCTCTAAAAGCATACAGTAAATCCTCCCCTAATAATGAGACGACACTTCACTTTGAGGGTTAAGCAGGAACTGATTTACTGGGGCTAACTGCCCGGCTTTTATGCAGGTCTCCCACCTGGTGGACACTCCCCTAGGGGACCAAATGGGAGACTGGGACACAAAGGGTAAAAGGACCAATCACAGACTTACACATTTCAACCATCCCACAATGCATCACAATCCCTCCTCTCTGCTCTGGAGATAATTGAGAAGTAATTCAATTATCTCCAAAGACAGAAAAACTCCATTAACCACATGGCAGAAAACAAACAGTAAAAGACATAAAATTACCTACAGTTACATTCAGTACATAAAACATATACGTTCTACATATCCCCAGATAGCTCAGGTCTGAGCGCACATTATTAAGCGAATGGCACTCAGACCACACAAATACAGTTTAATCGCCATGGGATTCCTATCTGGGGCACAACACACTCAAACAAATCTACCGAACACCCGGCAGAAAAGCACGAATAAGTCTTTTCTGCAGGAAAAAAAAGATGTCTTTTAACATGGGGCCATAGTCCAAAGGCAGCGTGCGAGCAACCAGGCTTCTCCAGTGTACAGTGGCGAGGTTGGTTTCGCCACACTTCTCCCCTTTACCAATCAGACTAACAGGGTATCTGACCTCATGCCGGTCAGTGCCCTTGTTAGTCCAGCAGCCCACCCACAAAACACAATCAGTAATACAGCCCACCCACAAGAACTGGTTACTACACCTGGGTAGAGGAGAACGTTGTCCATGTCCAGGCGCCTCACCATGACTGTGTGGGTGACTGGTAAGCGGACTGGGTGGGTTGCTGAGTGGGCAGAGACCAGTGGTACTCTGTCCTGGTGCCAGCACTACC